CATGCTAATCTCTTTTTCTCTTACAGACCTAGAGCAGGTGGCCTCCCAGCTGATTGAGTATATGCAGGGGAAAGGACCATTGGCTGTTATCGACAATATACAGGTTTTCCATGCTCCACACTGCCCAAACAGCTGCAAGAATTTTTGGGTTGGTTGGGGGTATTGAAGGGCATTTATTTCACATTTAGGGCAGGTGGTATGACACTTATATAGATTAGCCAAAAAAGGATCTTAGTGGGACTGGACAGAGGATTGCTGCCAAAAACCCTGTGGGCACCCTGGGTAATATTTGATGTAAGTATTACCCAGAAGGGCATTGGGCCTTCTTCTTCTTCTTCTTTTTTGAGTTGGAGTCTCACTCTATTGCCCAGGCTGGAGCGCAGTGGCATGCTCACAGCCACTGCAGTCTTGACCTGCTGGGCTCAGGTGATCCTTCTGCCTCGGTCTTCCAAGTAACTGGAACTACAGGCACGTGCTACCATGCCTGGCTAATTTTTTGTAGAGATGAGATCTCATAAGTTGCCCAGACTGGTCTCGAACCCCTGGACTCAGGCAATGCTCTCATCGTGGCCTCCCAAGGTGCTAGGATTACAGGATTGAGCTCCTTCCATTTTTAAATTTTTGAGTCAGAGTCTCCCTCTGTCACCCAGGCTGGAGTGCAGTGGCACGCTCATGGCCACTGTAGTGTTGACTTGCTGGGCTCAGGTGATCCTTCTGCCTCTGCCTTCCAAGTAGCTTGAACTAAAGGCATGAGCCTCCACACTTTGCTGATTTTTAAAAATTTACTGTAGAGACAAGGTCTCGCCATGTTGCCCAGGCTGGTCTCGAACCCCTGGGCCCAGGTAATCCCCTAGCCTCCACCTCCCAAAGTGCTGGGATGCCTTGGGCCTTCTAAATCAATCCCTTCCCTGTACATTTGATGTAAATATTACCCAGAAGGGATATACTTGGGGGTCTTGGTAGTGACAAGGGAAAGCTTAACTTCCATTGGCTTTTGGTCACAGACCTAGAAATGGGTCAAAGCCCACGACAGCCCTATCGAACAGCAGGTCAATGCAGTTTATCAAGCTCTCTTGGCAACTGAGCCAATCAGGGGACAACCCTGGTAACTGTGCACACTGCTCTGCCCATAGTGCAATGGACCCATGATATCTCTCACAAGCCCCGCACTGCAGCTGCAGAGGATGACCTTAACCAAATGGCAAGCATACCTACAGCAGCGTAGCAAACTCTCCACAAATGCTCTAAGCCAGGAACCGCAGCAGCTCCTAGGGCTGATAATGTCCGTTGATAAGGGGTAGACGACCTGACTGCATGAAACAATCCACACTCAATGAGAGACCCCATGCAGTCTGTCCAGCACCCCTAGACACCATGCCACAACTATGGGAAATGCCCCCGAGGATGCAAATCCAGACATAGGAATCAGTACTGAGACCAAGCTGGGGAAGCGAGAATAACTGGTTGCTGCCCACCCCACAGGACACAGTAGCCAGAGAAAACTCTCCATTGTCCCTGGAAAGTTCAATCTGAACCCTGCTGATGTTCCTTGCTTGCTACCTGTGAGAGGGATAGATCAAAATTAGATATTAATCTTTTGGTTATGGAAAAATGGTTAAACACTGTTAAGTGTAATAACCTGGGTCTCAAAAACTCAAATGAGGGTTAATTATCATTTCTGTGTGACAGTTCATGACCCCCCCCCCCACCACATCCTTTCATGTCATGGACAAGAGGGCTCCCAGTCCTGATAGGGAATGGTATTCCAGGCTGGAGAGACCTTCCCAAAGTGTCATGGTGTTGTCACAGGATAGGAATGCTGCTTGTTTTACCTGATAATTGGGACTTAGCTTTGCTTGTTCCTCTTAAACATCTGCCCTATAACCCTTAGCCTAAGACCCCTTTTCTAAGTGGTTTGGATCACTAAGCTTTCTTTTTGGCAAAAGGTGATCATAGGTGTTATCACTGTAGCAATTTCGCTGTTAGGATCCTGTGCCCTTTATTGCATACGTGGGATTCGGTGCCATGTTTGACTCCTGTTTCTACTTCAGGGAACTTGCAAAATATCAATGTCATGCCAAGATCATAAGGGTGGAAAAGTTCAGTGTAGGGGTGGAGTATAAGCTACTATCTGGACATAGACTCTTCCCCCTCCCTAAGTGGCAGCCTCTGGCCAAGGCTGGTCTCTGAAGGATATGCATATTCCCAGTAATGCTGAAAGCAATGTAGGCGTCACTCTTAATTTTAAACATCGTATAGCAAGTTGATCAACTTACATGATTATAAAACTGCTTGCCATACAGTCCTGAGCCTCAGCTATTTCAACAATCTGTCGCCATCTGGGCCTTCTATAAATTCTAATAAACCCATGTCTTTCCCTGCTGTACTTCTGAAAGCTTCTTTAGAATAAGTAAAATTTATGTGCAAGCCCTGTCAAATTTGGAGTTACCGCGTTACAGGCTGTGTTCCACCTATTCAGTGACAACCTGAACATTTAAAGTCTCATTCTAGTAGGGTTAGCAAGTTCACCCCCCACTTCCTGAATGATTGTATTTAATCCCACCCACTGCCTCCTAATTTCTTTGCCAATAGGGGTAAAACCATTTCTGGAAGCTTCTCTGTCCTAGTTTTCTCTCTCAGCCTATTTTTCGCTGCATCTTGAATTCCTACCAGTGTCAAAATTCCTTTTCAAAATTTTTATTTTTACCAATCCTCACGAACTCAGCCTTATTCTCTTGAATTACCTTCTTGGTTTTATGCAAATCCTATGTCTCTGCCAGAAAGTTTGGTTACCTTTGACGTGTTCAAGTCACACTTGTGAATTTCAATCAATACTCTACATTAGCACTTAGCATATTATGGACCGCTGACCAAATTTAGCCTGCTACCTGGTTTTGTAAAGTTTTATTGAAACTGACATGTTCATTTTCTTGCAGTCTCTGGTTGCTTTTGTGTTAAAGCCATAGAGCTGAGAGCTGAGGTCGCAAGAGAGTTTTATGGCTCTCCCAATAGCTTTTGATTTAATTGTTTACTATTTAATATCTAGCCCAAATCTGTTTGCTCGCCTCTGCTCTACTGGGAAGCCAAGTTTGCAAGGTGATACCAGGTGGGATCTAAGACCCTTCAAATCCTCACAGCTGCTAACAACAGATGACTTCTTTCCTGTACATCTAAAGAGTCTAACACCAGAAGTACAAGGGATGTTTATGTGATTTGGATCTATGGGTTCCCACTTGAAAGGTCAAGAACCCTTCTGTTTCTAGAACAGAAATGCAGATAAGACTCAGAATAAACGGCGAGAGCTAACAGTAGAATCTGTAAAACAGCATCAGCATTCAGTAACAAAACACTTTTCTGATAGAAAACAATAGCTCCAAAGAAATTATTAATTCCCTCGTGGGTCTTCTGCCATTGTTTTAATCTTCTTACAATGGGAATTCAACAGTATGCTATCATCCACCTGATGTAAAACAAATGGAGTCACATTGGTCCAAACTACTGTCATTAACAAAATAAACTATGTACATCTATTTCATAAGTGAAATAGTCCCCTGGAGACCGTCTATAAAAATTTGTTTTCACATCCTTCTGTCTAGTTTACCGAGAACAATGGATCTAGTTAAATTGTTTGAAACACAGAGATGTTCAGCTTGATGAGGCCACACAAGAATTTATATATAAAAAAGACAGCATTTGAAGAAAAGATGTCAAAGAACAAAGAAAGAGACTTTGGATAAAGTACATGTCCACTAAGATTCCACAGACGCCCAGGCTCCGGTCAAGTATAAGGTCCATCGATGACAAGGTTGGATGTTCAGTTGTTTGCTGGTTCAGTGAACTCTAAATGCTTTCTGTGATTAAGATGCTGGTCCCAGGCTGTCCCCACATCACATATCCCAGCACCAAGTCCAGGGCCCATGGGGGCACCTAGACTTTTATGGATAGAAGTGGACAAACTTCAAGTTCCATGACCCACAATCACCATAGGCTTGGCTATTTAGCTTGATCTTTGGTGTCACCTCCAGATCAAACTGCATTTCACTTATGGCAGTGGGAACTCATTGGGCAATCTAGGTACATTTATAATTAAGTTATTGGATGGAATGGGAGTTGGGGATGGAGAACCCACCTTTACCTGTCTCTGGAGGAATGCAAAGGAAAACTGAGTGTTTTGTTTCCATCATTCTATCATGAGTTTGTCTTTTATTTTAAGACAACAGATAAACCAGATGAGAACATATAAGACGAACACTCTTAGCACCACCACCCAGATTAAGAAATATAAATTTTCCAGCCACCCCAGACTCTTCATGGATGCCCTTCCTCATCTTTACCCTTCCCACTATGGAGATGAGTTTTAGCTTTCTATGTCGTCTAGCTAGTAAATAATTCCATCAGAAAAGGATCAGTTTTAAAATTGGAATCCATGCTGGGCGCAGTGGCAAATGCCTATAATCCCAAAACTTTGGGAAGTAGAGGCGAGAGGTTTGTTGGAGCCCAGGGATTTGAGACGAGCCTGGGCAACTTGGTGAGACCTCATCTCTACAATGGATACAAAATTAGCTGGGCGTGGTGGTGTGTACCTGTCGTTTCAGCTACTTGGGAGGCTGAGCAGAAAAATTGCCTGAGCCCAGCAGCCCTAAGCTTTGGTAGCCATGAGCATGCAAATACACTCCAGCCTAGGGGACAGAGTGAGACTCTGACTCAAAAAAAAAAAAAAGAAGGAATCCATCATGAAGACACTATTCCCATTGGATAGAGCAGTGCTCAGCAGATTGCAGCTTTGAACGACCAAGTCAACTTGCTGAGATCATTATCGGTGGGAAAACAGCAACGTGGAGAAGTGTCTGCTTTGCCCTCACACCACTGTCACCTCAGCCATTGCCCTGGAGGCCTGTGAAGTAGCAGTCACCAACCCTGGAAGCCGGTGCCCAAAGTCTGTCTTGATGGCCTCACTGTGGAGGGCTGGGCAGCCGTATTGGTCTGGAATTCACCACAATCCCTTTGGGCTGACCTAGAGGTCCTGGCTGGGTTCCAGGGAGGCCTCGAGCTGCCCCACAGAGACCAGCGTGCCTGGTTGCCCAGGGATGCCGCTCTCTGGAGGGAAGGTGACCAAGTCCGAGTTCTTATTCTCACTCTGGTCACTGTGCTGCTTCTTGTGGCATCTCAGAGAGTCGTCCCTGACGAAGGAGGCACCGCAGGTGTCACAGCGGAAGGCCCTCTGGGTCACAATCTTGGCCACGTGCTGGGAGCTGCTCTCTTGCGGCCCCTCCTGGCCCGGCGGCGCCCGATTCTCCGTCTTGGTCTCGTCCCTGTGCACCTTGTCAATGTGCTTGGCCAGGCTGCTGGGCCGTTTCGTGTCGAAGCTGCAGAAGTCGCACTTGAAGGGCCGGTCCTGGCAGTGGACCCGGCTGTGCACGCGCAGGGCAGCTGCGCTGGAACAAGAGTAACTGCACTCGGGACACTTCTCGGGGTGGTCAGCCTGGTGCAGCCGGCTGTGCTCCAGGAGGTCGGCCCGGTCCCGGCCCTGGAAGGCACAGTGCAGACACTTGAACGTGTGCTTGATGCGGATGTGCGACTTGAGGTTGGCCTTCATGGTGCAGCGGACGCCGCAGAACTCGCATTTGAAGGGCTTCTCCCCCGAGTGCACAATCATGTGCCTTTTCAAGTCCGAGCTGATTTTGAACTTGGCGCTACAGAGCCAGCACTGGAAGGGGGTGTCCCCTAGCAAGGGAAGATGTGTTTCCATTAGAGCAGGCAGGTAAGACAAAGCCCCCACCCCAGCATGCATCAGTACACATGGCTGCAATGAAACACGTTGGGTCTTTTGAATGCTAACTACTCACAACCACCTGATAATGACATCATTTACTGTGTGTACTAAGTCATGCAATGCTCACAACAGTCCTGTAGTGAGTACTCTTTTCCCCTTTACACAGATGCGGTGACTGAGGCTTAGACAGATCAAGTCATTTGCCCTGCCAGGCGTGGTGGCTCCTGCCTGTAATCCCAACACTTTGAGAGATGGAGATGAGAGGATTGCCTGAGCCCAGGGGGTTGAGACCAGCCTGGGCAACTTGGTGAGACCTTATCTCTACAGTAGATCAAAAAAAGTAGCCGGGCATGGTAGCACATGTCTGTAGAGCCAAATACTACAATACTTGGAAGGTTGAGGTGGAAGGATCACCTGAACCCAGCAGGTCAAGGCTGTGGTGATTGTGAGTGTGCCACTGTACTCCAGCCTTGGTGACAGAGTGAGATTTCCAACTCAAAAACAAAAAGTTATTCGCCCTTGGTCAAACAGCAGGAATTTGAACCCTGGCATACCCAAGTCCATAATCTTAAGGACATGTCAGTTTCAAATCTAAGCTCATTTAACTTGCCATCCCAGAATTGAACATGAGACTAAAGTTACATATGACTGTTTCAAATCAAGTTGAGGTATTTGAACATCCTAACTACTTTCATTGCTTTCAGATTTCAACTTCAGACACAAACTACAAATAATTTAAATTATGACTGGGAATGATTCAGAGCCAAATACTGCAACATGATTACAACCACTTCCTTATCAAGCCACTTATCAACCAAGCCAGTGGATAGTGTCACCATCACAGTCAAATTGTTCTGGTTTCTTTCATGCTCATTTTGGGCCACATTTTAGCTTGTTTCTCAATTGGACTGTGCATTTCTTGAGAAAAAGAAATATCATCATCTCAGAAGTCATCCAGTCTCCTATTTATGTAACTTTTTTTTTTTTTAATTGAAGTCTCACTGTCGCCCAGGTTGGAGTGCAGTGGCATACTCACATCACCACGGCCTCGACCTGCTGGGCTCAGGTGATCCTTCCACCTCAGCCTTACAAGTAATTGGGACTACATACATGCGGCCACCATGCCCAGCTAATTTTTTGATTTACTGTAGAGACGAGGTCTCGACATTTTGCTCAGGCTGATCTTGAACCCCTGAGCTCAGACAATCCTTTCACCTCTGCCTCCCAAAGTACTGAAATTACAGGCTTGAGTGACTATGCCCAGCTTATGTAACATCTCATATGAAGTTTTAAAAATGGATTTTCTGAATTACTTAATTTTCTGATTCATTTTTCTCTTAAACTTCTGTATAAGTATCATCCTTGTATTTCTCTTTGCTGCAATCCCAGAGAGCTATATCCTGTTATTCATACATCAAATATCTCATGCCAGAATTTGTTTTTTCCTCTTTTTCTAGAGTTTGCCTTCTAAAAACTTCCACTAGTATGGGGGCTGGGTGGAAAGTCTTGAGTCCTTATGCATCTCTCTGTTCTGCTCTCATACTTGAGATAGTGTGGCTAGGTATAGAAATCTAAGTTCAAAGTCATTCCCCAGCTTTGAAGACACTACTCTATTGTCTCCCAGGGGCCAATACTACTAAGAAGCCTTTCTAGGGATACATAGAGCCCTACTGGATGCAACATTTCTGCCATTGGGTAGATACCAATTAGAATATAAAAATTCTTATCTATTACCCAAGTACTCTTACCTCCAGGATTAGTTATTTATTAGACTTGGCACATTTTATTCCACTCATTTCCTGCCAATGATTCATAATTCTTGATGATTATATTTAGGAAGAACAGACTGGTTTGAGGATCAGACATTGATACCCTGGGTGTATCTGCCACCAGTTTTGCTGGGCATTTTTTCAGTAGGCCTTGGTGTCTCCCTTGAGCTTTATGGCCCTGGCCAGTTCCAAGCCAAGAGATCCCAAGGCACTTGGACATTGGCTGGAAAGGTTGGTTCCCAACTATATGGCTGCTTCCCATCATGTGCTGGGACACAGTTTTCTATACTCAACTTTCAACATCCACATAGTCCCATCTGCTTGCCCTCTTCCATGAATTCATTGAAATTCTCATCTTATGAGCCTCCTTGTGAATATCCCAATCTCCATTTTTCTGAGTCTTGATGGGTTGGTCCTATCTATTTGTCATTATTTCAGTAGGGTCCTCCAAAGAAAGGAAGAAAGTTTCTAGAACTAGAAGCTTGACTTACAATTACATTCAACTGATTTTGCTATATTCCTGAATCCAGTCGTGTAATCATTCAGTCCATAAGTTAAATTTACCGAAACATCTAGTATATAGGTCAGACTTATTTGAGATACATCCTAGGCTTCTTGGCTGCTGTGTTGGATACCCATTCCCAGTTAATTATTTTTGCAGTCAAGTTATAAAATTCTATGGTCAGATGGTCACATTTACTCAAAGGTATTGTGTGAGCAAAAGAAAAAAGACATGCCTAACAATTGTAGACATTCCAAATTTCCTTACTTCTACCATTGTCATGCTGTTTAAGTTGTTTGTGTTTTAAGTAAATGAAAGTTAGGAAATTAGAGAAAAAGTAAGGTACTGAGGTTTCCGGGTCAGGGACTTACCTGTGTGGGACCGCAGGTGGACAGTGAGCTGGCTGGAGTTGCGGCTGGCGTAGGGGCAGAGCTGGCACTTGTATGGCCGCTCGTCAGAGTGTATCCGCAGATGCTTCTTGAGGCTGCTACTGTCCACAGCGGCATAGTCGCACAGGTGACACTTGTGTGGCTTCACGCTGGTGTGGCACCGCATGTGCATGGTTAGGTTGTCCTTCCGGCTAAAGCACTTGTCACAAAACTCACACTTGTGCGGTTTGTCTCCTTTAAACACACAAGGAGTCAAAGTTTTTATATTTTATTTTTCATTTTGTTTTTGTAGAGACCAGGTCTTGCTATTTTGCCCAGGCTGGTCTAGTACACCTTGGCTCAAGCAATCCTCCCATCTTGATCACCCAAAATGCTGGGATTACAGGTGTGAGCCACCACACCCAGCCAGGAGTAAAGGTTTTGAGTTTTCTCAATTAAGACTACATAGAAATTTGACCAAGATGGTAGCCTGTGCATATGGGTCTATCTCCTCCTTTTGTCTAAATACCCAGAGAAAGATAGATTCTGAAGTATAAATCAACACATTGGGAAACAAGAATGTGTGCCATTCATTGAGGGCTCAGAAATTTTAAGGAATTCTAAGGAACAGATTAGATAAAAATCAGATTGATGGAGAAAACCATAGACCCAACCTCGTTTGGGGAAAATGGGAGTGGTTATCAAAGTGGACAAGAGAAGAGGTAGCAGCTATAATGATCGTGGACACTTTCTGGCCAACGGCTGATGAATCACATAGATAATGGTCAGGTTGGTCCCTTCCCCTCACTTCTACCAAGCACCATGGTGTCCTCCAAGTTCCTTAAGCTGGACTCCCCCCAATGGCTCCTGCCATATGTGTGCTCTAAAATCAACCACCTGGCAGCCATGGTTTTCAGGGTGAAGACCAAACATTTCCTTACTAACACGCTGTTCACCATCCACCTTCCCCAGGCAAAACTCCCGCCTCCCCCTTCCCTTATTTCTACAGCACAAGGTTGGTCTCCAGCAGAGACTACTAGTTATCCAGAAAGTCCTGTCCTCTCAGTGACAGAGTTTGAGAGTTGTTCAGCACACACTGCTCTTCTTGAAACCGTTCTCAGCCTCCCTGGATGCTCAGTGTGGCCATGTCTAAGTCCTGCTTATGTGCCCCTAGGTCATGAGGGATGCTGTTCTGGGTCATGGCTCCCGGAGGGACGCCATGGGATCCCTAGCTCTGTTTCTGTTCCCTGCTGGTTAAGAGATACTGAGAACTAGAGCCACGGCCTTGGACCCACAGGCAGAGCCACGTGTTCAGGAGGGCAGAACCACCTGACCAGCTGCTTCTGAAGTTGTACTTGAGAAATACATCAGAGTATGTTTATGCCACCGGGTTTGGTTTCCGGAAGGACAAACCAATATCCTTGTCCATACAGGCAAGTATAGGGTTTATACCAAAGACTAAGGCTTTGCAGAGTTTTTTTTTTTTTTTTTAAAGGGCCAGATAGTCAGTAGTTTAGGCTTTGTGCACCACACAGACTCTGTAGCAACTACTCAACTCTGCCTTGTAGTACCAAGAAGTCATAGACAATAGGTAAATGAAGGCACATGACAGCAGGCTGGAGCTGGCCCAGGACTGGAGTGGGCTGTGGTTTGCAGATGCCTGTGATAGATCATGGTATTCCTTTGTTTTAGTACATCTTATTTCCCTCTTCTCAGAGCAGCTGGCTTCCCTAAAAAAAGTCACTTTTGAGCAACAACCTTACCACTCTTCTGTAAGATTACCATGGCCACAGGCCCACCCTCTGTCAACCTCCCCATTTCATTTCACACCGCTTTCTATCCGTCTCCCAAGCCCACCCCACAGGACTAAGCTCCAAAAGGCAGATGAGGCAGAGACTGTGTCTTGCTAATCACTATACACCAGGCACTAAACTCACACCCATTTCCTAATTTTATTTTTTGGGGGGTTGGAGTCTCACTCTGTTGCCCAGGCTGGAGGGCAGTGGCACACTCATGGCCACTGCAGCCTCAACCTGCTGGGCTCAGGTGATCCTCAGCCTTCCAAGTGGCTGGAACTACAGGCATGCGCTACCACGCCCAGCTAATTTTTTGATTTATTGTAGAGACGAGGTCTCACCACCCCAGGCTGGTCTCGAACCCCTGGACTCAGGCAATTCTCTTGGCTCTGCCTCCCAAAGTGCTGGGATTATAAGCACGTGCTACTACACTCAGGTTTTCTTTTTATTTGATTTATTTATTTTTTGAGTTGAAGTCTCATGTTGTCACCCAGGCTACAGTGCAGTGGCACCATCATGGCTCACTGCAGTTTCGACCCCTTGGACCCAGGGAATCCTTTCACCTCAGCCTTCTAAGCAACTGGGACTAAAGGCAAGCACCACCACGCCTGGCTAATTTTTTTGACTTTTTGTATAGATGAGGTCTCACTATGTTGCCCAGGCTGGTTTCAAACTTCTGGGCTCAAACAATCCTCCTGCCTTGGTCTCCAAAAGTGCTGGGATTACAGGCATGAGCCACCACGCCCAGCCCATTTCCTTGTTTTCTTACCAAACTGGTGAACAAATGAGTGGATACCTACCCGTGTGGATTCTTAGATGACGGTCCAAGTCTTTCATGCCATGGACAGTTTTGAAGTGGCAACCTAGACAAAAGAACCAAAATATAGCTCTTCTGACAAGATAACCTCAAAGTGGAAGCTACCATGATCCTGACGCTCTGGTGAGTCACACTGAGCTCTGGATGCCACAGTACTGTCAGGACCCACAGGGAAGTCTGTGCGCGTTGATGGAGATGCTCACATGTTATGAGCACCCAAGAGGGATCTCACAAGGGAGTCACGCAGAGCACCGGACACAGCGAAGGGACTCCTCCATAAGGGTTTATTCTTTACCTGGGTAGCAGCAGTTGAACGTCCTCTCTCCAAGAGTGGCTGCTTGTTCCCTTGACTCTGAGGGAAGCGTGGTCACAGGGCTTTTCTGAGTGTCACTGCTTTCAGCGGGGAGGCACGTTGGTGTGGGAACATCATTATCTAGTTCTGAAGCTGAAATGGAAGCATGAAGTTTTACTTTTTTCTCAAACATAACCACCATGGTGAATCTCACAATACAGCAGGCTTGGGCCTCCTTTTTTTGTGTGAGTCAGAGTCTCACTCTGTCGCCTAGGCTGGAGTGCAGGGGCATGCACACCGTCATCGCTGCTTTGGCCTGCTGGGCTCAGGCAATCCTTCCCAGCCTTTCAAGTAGCTGGAACTACAGGTATGCGCCTCCTTGCCCGGCTAATTTTTTGATTTGTTGTAGAGACGAGGTCTCACCAAATTGCCCAGGCTGGTCTCGAACCCCTGGACTCAGGCAATCCTCTTGCCGCCTCCTTACAAAGTGTTGGGATTACAGACGTGAGGTACCGCACCTGGCTAGTTTGGGCTTATTTCATCTGGTTTCACCACCTCCCAAAACAAAACAAAAAAACAACAACGAAAGCCACAGGGACTAGTCTTGCAAAAGACCTCTTCCTCTCGCTACAATTTCCAGGAAATACAGGGGGCAGGAGGACACAGTCACACAACGAGGAAATGACTGATAAAATCTGGACTAAAAAACTTGACATTTGAGCACTTCACAAATGATGTGAGGACCTAGATTTTCAAACACTTTCTGATCCATCACAGGATAATATTTTTACAAAATGTAATAAACATTAAGTAGGAGAAAAGTAAAATAAGGCACAAATAAAAAGCCCAAACACATTAGATACAACAGAAAGCTGGAGGCTATAGCAATGTCAAACTGTTTTTCTTTTCTTTTCTTTTTTCCTTTAAATAGTTATTCTGGATTTCTGATTTGTTTTGCCTCCGTTCAGCAAAAGGTCACAAATCACATATCACTGATCTCCAGGACAAAACAGTTGTGTTAACAACATAACTTGAAAGCCTGAGGAGGAGAAAGCCAGAGATGGAGACAATCTAATATTGCAACCTAACTTGGCTTCTGATGGAAACCCTTGAGACCGTGTGATGTTTGATATAAGGGCTTTATGTTTTTTGGTATGAAAATAAAATTTTTTGGTTTTTGAGTAGGAGTCTCACTCTGTTTCCCAGGCTAGAGTGCAGTGGTACACTCATGGCTACCGCAGCCTCGACCTCCTAGCCTCAGGTGATCCTTCTGCCTCAGCCTTCCAAGTTGCTGGAACCACAGGCATGCACCCCCAAGCCTGGCTCATTTTTTTTATTTATTGTAGAGACGAGGTCTTGCAACCCTGAGCTCAGGCAATCCTCTTGCCTGTATCACCCAAAGTACTGGGATTACAAGCGTGAGCAACCATGCCCAGCTTCCAAATATTAGCGTTTTTGAAAAGCACTTTTGCCAGGCATAGCAGCTCACGCCTGTAATCCCAACGGTTCAGCATTTTGGGGGGATGAGGCGGAAGACCACTTGAGTCCAAGAGTTTAAGACTACAGTAAGCTATGATCATGCTGCTGTACTCCAGCCTGGGCCACCGCCAAGACCTTGTCATAAAAAATATAATAAGCCTAGAAAGCATTCTCATGGTTTAGAGATTAATGTCGAAACATTTACTGTATTATGTTTTTCTTCAAAATAACCCAGGGCAGAGAATAGTTGGTATAATGAAAAATAAGATTGGCTACATGCAGTTAATTGTTGAGCAATGGGTATGCACTAGTTCATGGTATAATTTTCTCTACCTTGAGGAGGGCTGAGGCACATGCAATCGTCATTTTTGTTAGCCAAAAGGGTCACATAATTTCATGTTTCAATCTAATTTTTAGGTGTTAAAATTTCTATAGCAAGGGCCAAGTACTAAAGTAATTAGTATTCTAAGTAATTTATCTCAAATTAACTTAAGTCCAAGGGGAGAAAAAATAGATATTGACTAGTTTATGAATTATTGGCCAAGGTCTGGGACTTTTGACTTCTGATTATAAAAGGTGGATTCCGTCTTCACAGAGAGGTTTATGGGGTGAAGAAATCTCACCAGAAGAAGGTACAGGGCACACTAGTGTGGGCCTGTGTACCAGGCAGAGGGTTTGCTCAGCTGTGTGACTACTGGCCCACTACTTAACCCTTCTGAGCTTCAGTTTACTCATCTGTAAGAGCAGATAACATATGTGCCTCAGAATTGTAGAGTTAAATGAGATTTAAAAAATGCAAATTTTCAGTACAGTCCCCAGTCCGAGTTGACTAGATGCTTACCATTACGTGGCTTCAGACATCTCAAGAGAGGATTGCAGAGGTCACATCTAAGTCATGGTGGTGCTTGAAGCCCCTTAACAAGTGATTGTGCCCAGAGGCTCTCACTTGGGGCCAACTTGCCCCCAGGGGGACAGTTGGCAATGCCTGAGGCCATTCAGTGTCATGATCCTGTTTGCCGGCATTTGTGTGACACCGGTAGCTAGTAGGGTAGAGACCAGGGAGGCTGCTACACATCCTAGGACACATAAAACAGCCCCTACAAAATGATTATGTGGCTCCAGACATCAGTAGTGCTAGGATTGAGAAAGCCTGCACTAGTCCTATTCCCAGTGTTTCTTCCAAGTGTAATCCAGACATCATCTGTATCAGAGTCACCTAAATCATAAGTGTAGTTTTCCAGGCCTTTCCCCAGACTCACTGAAGAGTGGGGTGGTGAGGGGCAAGCAAGGGGGAGGTGTAGATCCCAGGGTCCTTTTTTTTTTTTTTTGAGAAGATTTCACTGTCACCCAGGCTGGAGTGCAGTGGTACAATCATAGCTCACTGCAGCCTCGAACTCCTGGGCTCAAGCGATCCTCCAACCTCAGCCTCCAGAGTAGCTGTGACTATGGGCTCATACCACTACCCCTGGCTAATTTCTTTACTTTGTAGAGATAAGGGTCTTACTATGTTTCCTATGCTGGGAACCGCATTTCGAAGTGCACGCTGGGTGATTCTAAGTCCCTACTATTAAAAAAAGCACCAGTGTCACCTAGGAGCTTGTTAGAAATGCAGTCTCAGGCCCCACTCAAGACCTACAGAATCTGCATTTTCACAAGATCTCCTGGTGATTCCTGTGCACATTAATACTTGAGGAACACAACTCATGGCCAGTGTTCTCAAACAGGAACGTGCACCAGATCACCCAGAGGGGTGGTTAAGAAATGAGTGGCTCGGGCCCCTCTAGAGTTCCTGAGCTGGTCTGTCTGGGGTAGAGCCAGTCAGTTTTCCTGTTGATGCTGATGCTGGCCTGAGACTCACATGTTCAGAATTTCTACTTTGTGAAAAAGGAAGAAACAGGCTCAGAGGGACACTCAAGGTTGCAAGGTTGGAAGTGTTCAGCTGATCAGAGCCCACACTTGCCATGTTGGCAGCCCATCCATGCCCCTAAGGGGAGAACACAAGACCTCCCACTACTTAGCAATTCACATAATAAAACAGAAAACCATTAAGCCCTTGGGTTTTTGTTTTGATGATACAGACACCAATGAAGATTGAAAACTGAAATGTAAGTGAAGTTATAACACACTGGTTTAAGGAACTGACTAGGAAGCCAGCTGATGAGTTTCAAATTCCAGTTCATTTATTAGCTGTATGTCTCTAGGTTGGTTGCCCAACTTCCCTGTTCCTCAATTTCCACACCTGTAAAATGGGTATTATAACTCCTATCTCATAGACTTAGATGAAGATTAATTTCTTCAGTATACTTAAAAGAACTCTGTACATAAGTCAACACTATATGAATGGTATTAGTGTCATTCACTGGTGTGCACATGTAAGAGCTACCAGATTTCTGGGGGAGGGGATGCATGTTTTCAATGCAAACTAAGAAACAGGCAAAAGGGGAATTGGTGAGTTAGAGCTATCAGAACTGTATCCAGCACTAAGGCTCACCCAGATGTAGCCTCTGATGGGGAGGTGGGAGGAGCCTCGCCAAGATACTCCTGTCACCTTTCCACATCGAGGAAACCAAGGAAGGTCCTAGCCCACCGGCTCCTGAGGGCGACAGCTGGAGGAGAGACCCTTTGAGTGTAGAAGAGGGGGTGGCCACACTGGACAGCAACACTAGCTCAGCCCAGTGAGTGTCTGAATCCCTTAAGAAATGGTAGGTGCTCCCTCCCTGGGGTTCTCCTGCTGGAAAGTCTACCAACTCACCTCTCCCTTATATTTTCCTCCAAAAGCTACATGAATTGCAAAGCCACTTGCAAACCAAGAGTGGCTCAACCTTATAAAGATAAAAAGGCGGCCCCTTGCTCAGCACCACAGACCTAAGATCCTAGGATAAGGCATCAGTTGGAAGAGCACTCGTTATGAGGCAGGAATTGGACTTGAAGCTCCTGACAGGCATGGCTGCCGGCCTCCTCCCACGGGGAGGTGCCTCGAGGTCTCCAGGATGCACAACACCCTCCCCACGACGCCAAACGTTGGGCGCGGCTCCAGAAGGCACCGCCTATTGCTGTTTGCAGGAATCAGAAGTCGCTCAGCACACCGCCTTTGAACTCCAGCCCCGAGTTATCCAGCAATTCTCTTCTAGAAGCACATCCCCCAAGAGATTCAGCGTCCCCCGCTCCTCCCAACTACCCCCTTAGCTTGGAGAGGTCTCGGAGCCCCGCCCACCCCCCGGGGGGGGGGGGTGTCCTACAGTCCCAATCTGCTTTCGCCCCGTTCTAGGCCTCGTGCACAGCGGTGGTTACGGTACTCTGGTTAGGGCAGTTCCATCCTAAATAGATTTTAAAAATACAAACCATTAGTTTAGGGAAGATGTGGTCACATCCCCCCGGACTGTTCTGGAAACTGCTGCAGAGTCGGAGAGCCCGCACCTCTGGATGTGGGAGCCTCCTCGGAGCAGGGACCTTCCTGCACGGGGAGAGGAAGGAAAAGCGGGGAGCAGAGGAGGAAGTCCAGTTAAATCTCCTCTTCCACCTCCTTGCTTAAGAGACAGGTAGCAGCTAACTTGGGGGAAGGGAAGAGAAAGTAGGAACCGACACCGTCTCAACCAGAGCGTACTACCAGCAGGAAGCCAAGCGCCTTAGAAAGGCAGATTCCCCAACTCCATCCCCGAGATTCCGATGGGGGCGCCGGAGACACCCGGACAGTCAGGAAAGCTTCCCTCCTGCAGGTTCTTCTGAAGTGGAGGATCCCGGGACTGCAGGGTGAAGATGTTGCCTGAGGGGCTTAGGGCAGCCGAGGGTCTCCCCGGTATGCTACGTCCTGACCCTCTTGAGCCGGAGTCACGGGGGAGCCTGCTAGGTCCGACCGTGTCACTGCACCGCCCCCACCATGGCTCCCCCTTCACTCAGATAAAACGCAGAGTTCTTCTAGGGCTCCCCCCAACCCGCCACGACCTGACCCGCTTGAGTCAGAGTCACGTGGCAACCGGGGGCGCCTGCTAGGTCCGACCGTGTAGTGACACGCCCCCACCATGGCTCCCCCTTCACTCAGATAAAATGCAGAGTCCTTCTGAGGCTCCCCCCACTCCGCCACGACATGTCCCCCATCACCTCCTGGTCCTCCGCTGACCTCCCATAGACTCCAGCCTCGGTGCCTGCTTTCCCTCTGTCTGGAATGCTCTCCCCCGGCCGTCCTGGGCTCGCTACATCCCCCGGTCTTTCCTAGATGGTCGGCTTCTCCGTGAGGCCTTTACCCGACACAGGCTCTCCCCCAGTCCCCGAGCAAAGACGCGCAGGGCGCAGGTCCCAGAACGCCCACCTTCCAGGCGCGCAGCCGAAGCCCAGTGCCAAGGAGGTCGGGGACTCAGGGCCCGCGCACCCCGAAGACAGACTCCGAGAGGCCTCGGAACATCCTTCAGCGAGTCTGGGAAGCTCACTGGTTTCCCGGCGCTTGGGGGGAGTGGCCGGAGGAATCCACGCGGGAGGGGCATGATTTACCCCCGGAGGGTGTAATCGACAGGGGGTGTAATTCACAGGAGCGGAGGCCGGGGGCGCACGGGTCGGGGTCCCAGACTCGAGGTGGAAGCTTCACCCGCCGTCCCACGCCCCCTGCCGAGTCCTCAGACCCGCGCGTGTCGCAGAAACGCCCGGGAAATGCCCCCAGGCCCCGGCCGGCGTCCGCGGCGCTACTCACCCGGCTCCCCCGCCACCTGCAGGGCCACCTCGGCGCGCTCCCGGCGCGCAGGCCGCGAGTCCTCGGAGCCGAAGTGCTGGGGCTTGGCCTGCTTGCGCCGCGACATGGCGTGAGGACCCGGCTCCCGCGCGTCCCTAGGAGTGGCCTACTTCACACAAGCGATTCCCGGAGTTCGGAAATTACCCCCCTTCGGCCGGAACGCGCATGTCCCGGCAATTCAGCTCATCAGCCGAGCAGGGCGATTTATCCAGAGTCCTGACGGCTGATTGGCCTGGAGCCAAGACCTCAGGGGTCCTGTGGGCCTGCTGTCCGCACCCGGGCAGCCCGCACCACCTGGGAGCTCGTTAGAAATGCAGACTCTCGGGCTCCACCCCAGACCCACAGAGTCAGAATCTGCATTTTAACAAGATCCCCAGGTGATTCGCATGCACATTAAAGTTTGAGAAACCGTGTCTGCATTTTAACGAGATCCCCAGGTGATTGGTTTACCCATTAAAATTTCAGAAGCATAGCTCTCCTCCAACTTTAACGTGCACGGGAGTCACTGGGGATCTCGTTAAAATGCAGATTCTGACTCAGTGGGTCTGGAGTGGGGCCTGAGCTTCTGTATTTCTAACGAGCTCCCAGGTGGTGCTGCGGCTGGAGCTGGGGCACGGGCTGCGCTTTCAGATTCACTTAATTGGTCCGGGCTGAGACCTGGGCAGTGGTGTAGTTTTTAAAAAGCTCCCCGGGTTATTCTGAAGTGCATCCGAGGTAGGGAAGCACGACCTCCGCCCACAGTCCTCAACCTTGGCGGCAAATGCAAATTTAACATTTACATGAGACCAGAGGTGCCGGTTACAGATGCAGATTCCGTGGGTTCTGGATGCGGGCGGCCGAGGCCAGGAGTGTGCATGTTTACACAGCGCGCCCCCTCTGTCCCCTGAATCTGGCGCACGGGGTCTAGGACCACACAGGAGAGGCCTCTGGGGCCAGCGGGGACGACGGGCCCGCCCAGCAAGTAGTCCTGGGGGTTTGAGCTAATTGTTGTTCGTGCTCAGACTGGCTGGGAGCTTGATGAGACCTGAGGGGGACCCTTCCTTGCCCCACACGAACGACGTGCAACAGGGAGCAAGCAAACCGCCCACAGGTGTTTACTTTCTTCAAGTTGGGGAGTTACTTAAGACGGGGCTGTGTCCCAAGCTTGCCCGAACCTGAGAATCACGTGGGGCCCTTGTTAAAGACCCAGGCCGGCTCGGCTCTGAAGCCTTGGGGAAGGTCTGAGAATATGTAATTTTAATGGCGCCCCTAGTGGATTTTATGGTGTGACCGAGTTCGAATAAGACGCTTCCGGCAGGCCCTGGGAGGCGGGGATCAGCAGCGTCTGTGATATACATTTTGTGGGGTTACCTTTGGCAAACCCCAAGACTGGGTATGGAGAAGAGCTTTTTAAAATCTGATTGTTTACATTTCTCAAAAGAAGACTTGTTTTCCTCAAACTCCCCGTTGATTTTCATGTTGTGGATTGGCTTAGGGATGTTTTGTAATGTTGGTTGAAGTCACTTTAGGGTGTGTCCGAGACTTAAAAAAAAATTTTTTTTAACAACTTTTTTTTGAGTCAGAGTTTTATTTTTTCACCCAGGCTGGGGTGCAGTGGCACACTGCTCATGGCCACTGCATCCTCCACCTGCGGGGCTCAGGCAATTCTTCCACCTCAGCTTTCCAACTAGCTGGAACTACAGGATTGCGCCACCAGGCCCAGCTAATTTTTTGATGTATTGTAGAGACGAGGTCTCGCCATGTTACCCAGGCTGGTCTCGAACCTACCGACTCAGGCAATCCTCTTGCCTTTACCTCCCAAACTGCTGGGATTACAGGCGTGAGCCACCACACCCAGCTATAAAACAACTTCTAAAGTTTTTTTTTTTTTTTAGGAGGGGGGATGTGTGTGTTCACATAACTGAGAAGACATCTGAAGATATATACATGTGCTCATGCTGGTCATGTCTATTTTTGAGAAGGAGACTAGATAAACTGGGAACAGTAGTTGTTTCTGGGAAGCTGAAAAAGGGGTGGAGGATAGGAGACACCTGATTCCTGTCTATACTGCTAGAGGTGTCTGTGTGTGTTTGGTATGCATATATTACTTCACCTCCGGAGTCCACAATTGCATTAATCAATTGGTACATAAAGCATTATCATTAATTACCATTGTTATCCTACATGTGTTGGGTTGCTTGTTTGTTCCTGAGTTTATTATAATATAATGTGTTATCAGGGAACCTATCCCCAAAACTAGAAACTTAACTACAACCAACATCTCTCCCTATATTCCCTTCCCCAGTTTAATAACCGTCGACCTGAATCCTATATACTTAATTCTTTTGCTTTTTCTCTTTAGCAAGTTTTATTCCTAAAAATATATTTTATTTCTAAAAATATATTTTATTCCTAAATAATATGCACAATATTTATTTTTAAAAACCTTATAAAAAGTGTATGTTATTTTCCATGAATTACTTCCCCCCACTTAATATTTGCTAAAATCATCCAAATGCTGTCATTATTCATCCATTTTGATGGCTTTGTAATAGTCCATCGTGTGAAAATCTCATAGTTTATTCACATACTCTCCTCCTGCTCGGCCCTTGGGCCTTTGCTAGGTCTTTGCAATTGTGAACAGTGCTACAATGATCTATGATCTTTCTTAAAATTGTCAGTTTCTCTTGGGTGAATGTATACCTTGGGGGTGGTATAAGAGATAATGCCAAAATGACTGCACCAATGTATACTTCCCCCGCAAGGTATAAGAGATAACGTGGAGTCCTTTTTCACACTCAATATTACAAAATGTTTTAATTTTTTAAACATAAAATTGAGACATTGATATAAAATGGTATCTCACTATGGTCTTGATTTGCATTTTATCTCCATGTATAATTCAAACAGGCACAGTGGCTCACACCTGTAATCCCAGCACTTTGGGAGACTGAGGCAGAAGAATTGCTTGAGGCCAGTAGTTCGAGACCAACCATGGCAACATAGTGAGACCTGGTCTCTACAAAAAATTAAAACAACAATAACAACAACAACAACAACATCAAAGGGCATAGTGGCATGCACTGGTAGTCCCAGCTACTTGGGAGGCTGAGGTAGAAGGATGGCCTGAGCCCAGGTGGTGAGCTGTGATCATACCACTGCACTTCAGCCTAAGCCATAGAGTGAAACTTCAATTAAAAAAAAAAAAGTGAAAATTTTTAATGTTTTTCACAAACATAATGGCAACTGATTAGTTTTATTTTTGAAAGGATTGTTTTACTATACTGCAAAATATCCCTTCAAAGTTTAAGTTCTTTTTTTTTTTTTTTAAATTTTGAGTTGGAGTCTCACTCTGTCTCCCAGGCTGGAGTGCCTCAACCTTCCAAATAGCTGGAACTACAGGTGTGCACCAGCATGCCCAGCTCATTTTTTGATTTATTGTAGAGACGTGGTCTCGCCAAGTTTTCCAGGCTGGTCTCCAACCTCTGGGCTCAGGCAATCCTCTCTCACCTTGGCTTCCCAGGATGCTGGGATTACTGGTGTGAACCACTGCTCCCAGCCGTAAAGTTCAAGTCCTAAATTAAGTTTATTATCATGTTTAGTTTTAATGGCTTGATGTCAAGGGACATAATAGGAAAATGGGGAAAAAAATTTCTTACAGGATACACAGATCTAAATGAAAGCAAAGTATCACTGACTATGTTAAATTCTCCTTTTTCTATCCCGTCTGCCAGTTATACAAATGGACTATTCTGTTTGTTGAAATCCAGCTAGCAAATTTTCGTCTTTCCTGATAATCAGGGGCTTTTGCAGATTAAACTGAAGAGGACACATCACTATACTGTATCTCAAACAAAAGGATTTCAAACCCATGGATGTTCTTTTTTTTTTCTTCTAGCAGTTGTTTAAACAAACTAGAAGATTCTATTGCTAAGTTTAAATACGTAGATTGAGGATTGAGGTTTTTAATAGGTGACAGCTTTTCATCGCTTTCAGTGACAATATCACATAACAGGAGAAGCATACTATCTTCACAGGATGCTTCTCTTGAAAACTAGTTATCACCTTTGTCCTGATTTTTACTTCATTGGTTGTTTGCTTGCGTAGAAAGTCAGTAAATTTTCAACTTTTGTCAACTGGTACAAGAAACGTGGACATTATCTGTAATTTTCACAACTCTAAGTATTTTGCCAAGAGGTAAAGAGCACATCTCTAAATTATACAAAAGTGTTTTCTGGCTACTCTGCCTCTCTTTATACTGCCTCTGGAATCTCTATAATTTTTTTTTTTTCTTTTTTTGAGTCAGAGTCTCACTCTTTTGCCCAGGCTGGAGTGCAGTGGCATGCTCATAGCCATAGCAGGCTTGACCTGCTGGGCTTAGATGATCCTTCCACCTCAGCCTTCCAATAGCTGGAACTACAGGGGCACGCCACCATGCCTGGCTAATTTTTTGATTTATTGTAGAGATGAGGTCTCACCAAGTTGCCCAGGCTGGTTTCGGCAGTGCTCTTGCCCTGGCTTCCCACAGTGGTGGGATTATAGGCGTGAGCCATTGCGCCCGGCCTCTATAACATTTTATAATGTAATAACTATGGTCACAGACTGGAGCCAGCCTGAGTTAGAATCCTGGCTCTGTCGCTTCTCAACTGTGTGATCCAGAGGAAACCTCTTGGTGCCCGTTTCTCCCACTAATAAAACGGCAATAAAAACTCGGCTAGATTGTGAGGATGATGAGCGGACTTAGGTATAAAGGGCACAGAACAGTGTCTAGTACATAGACAGTTCTCTAAGCATGAATAATCATTATTTATGATAATAGAGTAAAAGTTAGTTATAAAAATAGACACCACTCATTCATAATTGGTGGTTCCACTTAACTAGGCACAGACACTTTTGTTTCACCTGGAAGTAGATTGGAAGCAAACAGACTCGTGGTGACATGATGCAACTCTTCTGAGTTGCAGAATTCTCATGCCAGTTTCAATCCATATACTCAGTGAGTAAAACTTTCCTTTTTAAAGAGAAAGAGGTGAAAAGTAGGATGTTGTCTCTGATTGCCCTGGGCCTCCTGGGTGCCAGCACCCTGCCTGGGTCATTAAACATCCTCACTTGACTTCTACTGTTATGACCACCACTATGAATACAGGAAGGACTAGATCAAGTTTATCCGGCTACAAATGATTCCCCTAAAAAGTTTCCCTAAAAGCTAGACAGGAGCAAGTCTCATTTCTTTATCAACGCCTTTGCCAGGAATTCATTTATTTGTTCATTCGGCTAACAATGCTTTGAGTTCACATTATTGCTGGGCTCTGTTCTAGGTGCTGGAGTTAGAGTGATAGCCAAGACAAACAGGGTCCAGTGGGGCAGTCAGAGAAGTAACCAATGAATGAATGCTCAAGGTCACTTCAGCTAGTGACAGGTAATATGATCAAAATCCCATGGGGTGATGTGATCTGGAGTGACTGGTAGTAGTCGGGGGTGCCTGAGTTT